AGGAAGTAAATTTGATTGCGACCGAAAATCGACATCAGTCATTATTTTTCAAAAAATTTTTCCTATTTAATATTCTCAACATCCTTAGGACATTTTAAGTCATATTCAAATCTAATCAAATCAAAGATTATCCTGAGAAAAAATAATACATTGTCTCAACAACATCGACGACAACCTACAAAACACCTTGTGAGAAAATTCCTGCAACAATAGACAACACTCAGAGGATCTCAGGATAATAATGAAAACAAAAAAAAATAACCATTTGTTGTTAGATTGGTATTTGTTACAATCTCAAATTTCTCATGAGCTGTGCGTCCCTCTGTGTGTTTTTACTTTCTAGCCCCATAACAATTAACCCAGCCCAGGGAAAAAATTACGTTCTTATTTTATGGGATTTCTTCTTTTGGGTAAACACAACCATCTCATCCCATTTAATCGTATTCTTACTCTAATCAAGTGTTAAACAATCGGCTCGGCTCATTCACTCAGTCTCATCCCAGTGCTTGTACTGTCCGGCAGCTCGGCATGGTTTTCTGGATTTTCTTGTGGCATGCCCTTATTAACTGGAAACATGTTTAATTGCTCTGTTGTCGTTGTCGTTGTTGCTGCAATGATGGTGATGATGATGTCTTTGCAACACGAGCGTATCACACACTCACTCATAAGCCAAAACAAGCAACTAGTCAGCCTGCCAGTCAGTCATCGATCTATCCACCAAAGTAAGCCAGCCAACCAGCCATCCCAGCAATTCATTCATCCGCCTGCTGTCTGTCCAGCCATGAAGAAGAAAACAAACCGCTCGTTGAAATGACACCAACAGCTGCAACCCACAAAATTTTCTCACACTCGGCGAAGCACTTCTCCTCAATGGAGCTGAAGCTGAATGTGGTTGTTTGTCCAAGACGACAACGACCAAGTTGTTAATCAAGTCAACTTAACTGACGTTCTGACGATCTGTTTAGTTAGTTGCAAAGACAGCTCCAGGGGTTTTGGAGTTGTGTGTGTACGTTTGTCTCGCTGCAATGCTCAACAACAGAAGCACAATTTTAAACGTTTCCCAAAAAAGAAACACAAAAACCCAATCGAGAAAGAAAGGGCAGGTGGTAGTTATTACTTCAGCATTTGTTGTTGTTGTTCTCTTCACTGCTAAGGTTTTCGTGTTGTTGTTGTTGTGAAAACTTTGTATCTGTTTGCTGTTGTTGTTTCTTTAATCTTCTCACTCACAACATTTGACACTGAGTATCCAGCCAAGGAATAGAGAGGGTTAGGCCCGGCACAGTGGGTTACAATGAGAATTGGGAATACATTTATCAGAATAAAATGGGAAAAAACTATATCTGAAGTGCCGCTATAAAATGTGCACTTAAATGCAATTCATTCATTATAAGGACAATCAGAGAAAAGTTGTTAGTTTTTTTTGCCAGTAGAAGTAAAAATGCGGTTAGGTAAATAGCTTTCGTGACTAAAGGAGAAGTTGTGAAGCTTATTTGCTTTGCCTGCATTGTATATAGCTGCATTGGGCCTTATTCCGAGTAAAATATTTTTTTCTGAAACGAAGCACGTTTAATCCTCCTGATCTTTAATTGGATATTTAAAACGTTCAGGAAGAAGAAAATACTAGTTTTGCAGCAGAACTATTGAAGTGGGCATCAGAATTGTAGACGTTTACCGGTTTACCTGCACATTTCATATGTGCATTTATAAATTCATACTTCAGTGCGAATTCCACAGCTTCTCTTGGAAACTAGACGTTTTCCTTTCAATGTATATCAATTTTTGGGTTTAGCAGCATAAGTATAGTTCAAGGCAACTTCAACTACTCTGTTTCTATATTTGCAAGAAGCGGTTTTATCACCCAAGTGGAACATAGCTTTTCTTCAATTTCTTACTCAAAAACTAAACATTTTCCTCTAATTTTTTTGCCAAGATTGGCTTTAGCTGCCACACAAGTGGCACATTTTGGCTTTAGCTGCCACACAAGTGTTTGAAAATACCTTTTTTGTCGAATACAAAACAAAGATTTTACGCAATTTTGAAACTTTCATTAAGAGGCACGGTGTTCTAATCAGATCAGTATACATGTAACCACAGAGCACCATATCGTGAATTACTTGCCTGCACCTCAATCACTGTCATCTAGCGACTTTGTGACTGTGTTTCAATCTTCTAATTTACCACAGATAGCTGCGTTGCAAGGAAGACTTAAACATGCAGTCGAATGTGATCCCCTGGACCTGCGGATAGTTGGTCCGACGTCCATCTTCCCACCTAGTCTAGACCTGATACAAATTTTACGATGTGTCTAGTTTGAACAAATTGGGATATGTTAGTTTTAAGGATGCGTTTCAACCTGGCTTCACTCGGAAAAATTTTCGTCCATTATGTTCATCCTCTGTCAATGCTTCCCTAGCAAAAGTGAGGCGAAACCTGTACAGTTCTTGTCATTCAGCCCACAAAACCTCTTGTTATATATTTAGGGCTTTAAGACCAAGCCGATATCAATATTTGTCTAGAGATTTATCTGGATTTCGACCGCCTTGCGATTATGAACGACCAGGCTCAGAACACTTGCCCCCATTTGATTTGTGGGAATCGAAAATGTATTATTCAAAGCCCAAAGCTTAAATTTACCTATCGACTTCTTTCAAGGAACTTCAGGATCTCCTTTAACTCTATTATTGGCGATGGAGTCTACACTGAGGCCACCATTCCGCATGGGATCTTTAAGGCAATCACGGCGGCGGCTTTGCTGTCTTCCCAAAGAGATTCTAGGCCATTAACTGCGGCAATTTGGAAATCTCACAATCCCAGACGCACCAGTTTTTAGTACTTACACCAGCATTCTACTTTTCAATGTGCATCAACTCCATTATTGGACATGGAATCCACACCGAAACCACTATTCCTCCTGCAATCTTTGATACAGGCACATCGGCGATTTTTCTGACCTCCCAAAGAGATTCAAGGCCATTAGCTGCGGCAATTAGGAAATCTCACAATCCCGGACGCACCAGTTTTCAGTACTTATACTAACATTCTACTTTTCAATGAGCATAAACTTCATTATTGGAAATGGAATCCACACCGAAACCACCATTCCTCCTGGGATCCTTGAGAAAGGCACGTCGGCGTCTTGCTTGACTTCTCAAAGAGATTCAAGGCTATTAACTGCGGCAATTACGAAATATATGGATTCCTTCTGGTCTGTTTTACAACGAGCTTCCGAATTCTCTTCAACTCCATTATTGGAGTTGGAATCCACACTAAAGCCACCATTCTGCATAGGATCTTTGGGACGGACAGGGCGACGACTTTGCTTCCCTCCCACAAAGATTCAAGAAAATCATACCGTTGTTTTGTGGTAAAGTAATACAGTACATAACACCTTTCAGTTCTAAGACCATGTTCTGCTTTTCAATGAACATTGGGTTCCTCTTCAACTCCATTATGAAGCCACCATTCCTCTTGGTATCTTTGAGGCAGGCATGGCGGAGACTTTGCATTCTTCCCAAAGAAATTCTGCAACAATAAGGAAATCTACAGACATCCGACGGGTAGATGTAATGAATTTTCCCATCTATCAGCAGGCAATGATCTTCGCTAATGTACCCATTGGAGTCAGACTGCAACTCTTACTTCATCCTTTGCTATCCGTTGAGAAGTTAGATGATCCTACTTCGGCATTGGGTCCCAAGTGTTCTGCGAAATAGTACCGAGACGTTCCTACGATCCTTCTCCCCTCGACGAAGTTGGCAACTTAGCCGGCAAAATGTTCTTTTGTCCGCTCGTCGTAACTTTTTTGTAGGGGTTCCAGAAGGAAAATCTATGGCTTCCATATCCAGCTTCCAACTTTATCTAAATTTGACAAGACTGTCTGATGTCCGATTAAAATATATAAATATATCCTTTGGAAAAATAAGAAAAATACCATCATAAGACATGCGAACAGAATTCGTCAAGTCTGTACAGCCGTCGGAAAAAAGCTTTCGAATTTATGCAGACATTTCAGACTTAATCAATTATTGTTGGATTGTTTTACGAAGAGATCAAAGGGGTTTCTCAGGTCTATCCGAGTCATAGTTGTAGACATTTCCCAAGACTATAAGTGCCTCTTCCAGACGAATTTTTCAAGAACTTTAAAACTATATGTGCAAAATTTTTAAGAAGAATGAAGAAGATAGGATGAATCTTTAAGGGCGATTTGTTCCAGTATTGCCAGTACTATGGCTCGAAGCCCTTCTGCGACAATTTTTCAAGGACTCAAAGAGATATTTTCCCGATCCATCAGGGCCCTTACAAATGAAGATTTTAAGGCGATTTTTCAGAGTCTAACAGAAGTGTTTTCTAGGACTATCAAAACCATTGTATGGCATTAATTACATTTTTAAGGACCACTTTTCAGGGCCTTTAAAGGAAAAACCTAGACTTTTTAAGGAAGTTTCTTTGGGGTCTAAAAGGGAAACAGAAAAATGTTTGAAGCCATATAAGAAATGTCGGACGGATTGCAGATCGATCAGACCAAAGAGACGTAGGCATGGATTGTTTAGGCCGAATTTTTGAAGGACAAAAAAAAGTTTTCAGGGGAATAACAGAAAAATGTTTGAAGCCATATACGAAATGTCGGACGGATTCCGGATCCAACTCTGCAAGTTTGATTAAAAAAGGCTATTCCCAAATTAGATGAAGTCTGAAATCTGTATAAAGTCTGAAAATTATTATTCTAATAACTATTCCTTCGAACACAAAATGTCCCTTTTTTCACAAAAGAGTCGTCGAAAAGCCAATTATAACCCAAACATCAACCTGTACTGCTAAGCACAAAAACCTGTGGCACTTGACACACCTCCAATTGTCCCGAGTTTTCTGCACATTCACATGTTCCAGCAGAAAAACACAACCCTCATCCAGAGTTAGTTTTTAACACCCCGTATTGAAAATCAATTCCCAAAAAAATATTTCCCAATCACACTTTACAACAAATGCACCCACTGTAAACCGAAATGTAACGTTCAATTCATCAGATGTCTGTCTGTCCTGACCTATACAATGCACTATGCTATCAGTAACACAAAAGGATACAACAAGCAGGATTTAATGAAACCCAAGGATAACAGCAGCAGCAACAGCAGTAAAACAAAAACAACCCCATATGCACGAGATAAATGAAATGGTGGGAAACTAACTGGCAAAGTGTTTCCCACGATATTCGACTGCATAGTTTGGCTACCTGTCTCCCTATTGTGCATTACAAATCGAAACCACCATCATCATTGTCATACCAGATCCGCCAACAACCACCACCATCATCATTCTTTCAAAGCAGCAGTTGAAACAACCCCTAAAATTGTGAACACACAACAAACTCCAAGTTGGGATCGTAGCACGCTCTCTCTGGATTTCTTTGAGCCAGAGAGTGTGCCTTAAGGATTCTCTTTGGTTTTCTTACTCTCCATATATCTCATGTCTCTCCCTGTGCCATTGTTGTTACTTCGGTGGTACGTGTGTTGAGCACGAGTTGTGTGAGTTGGTTCTGGGACACGTGTGGGTATATAAGCCCGACCTTACTCCAGAGCAACCATCATTCTCAGTTAAGTCGTTGTAGAACGAACACCACAAGAAGTTTATTTCTAAAAGAAAAACTAAAGAACAAAATCTACAAAAAAAAAATGGCCAGCAAATACGAAATGTCCAAAACCTATCAATACCGTAAAGTGATGAAACCTCTATTGGAACGCAAACGCCGTGCCCGCATCAACAAGTGCTTGGATGACCTTAAAGATCTCATGTCGGAATGTTTCAAACAAGAAGCCGCCGGTGATGGTACACAGAAATTCGAAAAAGCCGATATTTTGGAAGTCACCGTTCAACATTTACGCAAATTGAAGGCCCAGAAACAACAGACGGCTCAAAACAATCTCAGTTCCCAGCAGAGTTTCCGTTCCGGTTACATTCAAGCTGCCAATGAAGTGTCTCGCTGCATGGCTACCTTGCCGAATATTGATGTGGCCTTTGGCACCAAACTAATGACTCATTTGGGTTTGCGTCTAAGTCAATTGGAATCACCTCAGGAACAACCATTGGCCGTTAGCACTCCATTGTCCGTTACCTGTGCCAGTTCCCAGTCAACAGCCGCCTCTGCCATGTACAGTCCAGTGTCAAGTGGTTATGCCAGTGATTGTGATTCATCCTTGTCCTCCTCATCATCCTCATCTCGCTCCCGTTCGCCAACTCTGGCACAAAAACAAGGATTACTACAAGTCAGCACAAATGCTCCTGTGTGGCGTCCATGGTAATCCATCCATCAATCAATCAATTGATCAACACCATTGAACACCAGCAGTGCTTTACCGTTCTTCCATAAATGTTAAACGATCTCGTTTTTTTTTAATAGTTTTTAAGTTCATTAACTAATTTTCGTAATTGATTGCTTTATTATTTTGTAATTTTAATTATTTTTGTTAAATTATTATCTAAGGATATTCAACACTAGCGAACAAAAGAAGATTGTTTGAGTAGCTTTATTAGTTTAATTCAACTGTGATAGGGTCTCGTTTGTTTTGGAATTTTTCAAAATAAACAAAATTTCAGTTTATTGTCAAAATAGATTTGAAAGAGTATTGAACTATTTTAATGCCCGAAAAGAAGAAATTGAGAAAAAAAAAAAACAAAAGATACAAGAAAACAACTATAATTTGAAAACATAAACAATTGTTGTCTTTATTTGGGTGTTGGGGTTGAGATGTTTTTCTTTTAAAAACAGGAGACACAGGGAAGATAAATCAACTAACAAATTGACTAAAATTGTCAAAATATTTATAAAAATAAATTTACTTCAGGGCATACACTGACAAGATTTGGATTAAACAGAAGACAATTTCTATTTTTTGCAAGAAACCCATAAAAATTTGAATAAAACAATCAAATATTTGTCACAAATAACATTTTCCTGATAAAATTATTATTTTCGAATAATTCCTCCAAGATTTATTGAAGTATATCTCGAAACTAAAACCTTTTAAATTTGAGTTTTGAATGACTTTCTTAAACAAGCCGGGGAAATTATAATTTCGTTCTAATTTCACTCTGACCGAAAAACTTAATTTTAATGCCAGAGTTGTAGAAATTTGTCGAAGAAGAAGCTAATCTTAACGAATTTCTCATAGACATATCGGTTGGCCCATAATATTGAAGAATATTCCGCAAGTACAGATTGTCATCCTTAGAACTGTGAGAGATTTTAGGTATCATTTGATGCCCATCTATTAGCTGATATTGGAAGTTTACGACTTCATGAATAATCTTACTTTTTTGTCGTCTATATTTCAGCATCCAATGATCATCGCACATTATAGTAAAGATGGATTTCGTTTACTAATCAATTAGTGTTTTTTCGAGGTCGGTAGTGCTGGTAACATAGCAATCATAATTCACATCTAATATACAGATTTTCTCCTTCCAGGCTCATCAGGATTAATCAATGTGGCAAAAGACTTTGAAGCTGCCTGGATTAGGAAACCCATACAAACGGCTTAGAGATTTTTAAAATTTAAAAAGGGAAAACTCTTTAATTATTCTTTTTTAGTCAAGAACCGAAATTGGAGCTAATTTTTAAAGCAATTTAAATATGACGGTAGCCTTAAAAAAATGGAAAATTCCTTTGAAAAGTTGAGCCCAACCACTTCAAATTACCCCAAATTGTTATATGAGGCTAATCTACAGAAGGCTAACACTCCCACATTCAACTGTTTTACACAGGATATCCAGAGTCGTATAAGGAACTTTACACAAATAACGGTAAATTAAGCCGGACCGGCCAATGACAGTGAGAATACAGTCAAACTTTTCAAAATAACCTAAAAAGGGTTGTACAATTTTATGGGAGCTCTGCTGAACCTAAATAGACAACTTTCTGCTAAAGAGGTTGCTACATATTTCGAATTTTAAATACCAAATTTAGGGAGGTATAGTTATATGGAGGCTATACAACACAAACACCTTGACCTTTAGAGACAATGTTATATGATACGAAGTAGAACCCATAAAAACTCTACATAAAAAATATGAAACGTCCTCAGAATACTGTATATTGGGAGGTGTGGTTGTAAGGGGGCTATATAAACACGTAGACCTTTATAGACGATTGTCGGCTACAGTAGCTAATATCTATCTATTAATATCTATTGCGAGTTTCAAATACCAAATTTCAAACAATTTTATAAAAAATATGGCAAAAACACTAAAATACAGCATATCGGGAGGTACCGTGGTATGAGACACATAGGAAAAAATAAAACTATATAGACCCCATACAATTCTATCGAAAATGTGACCAAAACCATCAAAATACCGAATATCGGTATATATTTACCTATAGGATATATATGAATGGACCATGTTTTGCCACGAAAACTATGGGGTCTCTAATTGAAAATGCGGTTTAAGTCATAAAACTGGACTATACGAACACATGAAGCAAATATAGCTCATTTTCAATAACAATCATCGTGCCAACAAATCAAACTATTGTGTAAAATTTCAAAACTCCATGTCAAATAGTATGAGCTATATATATTGATTTTAACAGGCAGACAGACGGAAAACATCAAATTCTTCTCAGAATTCTATGCTAATCACGAATAAATACTTTATGAGGTCTTCGACAAATATTTAAAGGTGTTACAAAGGGTAACACCCTGAAGGTGAAAGACAAGACAAGACCCTCAGTTCTATGGTAGGGTATAAAAAGGTAATATTCAAGAATTCCATCAAAAAGTCCAATAAATTTTTTTTTACCAAAGAACTTGCAGGGTTGTGAAGTCTACCTCAATTGAGGCCCAGAAAAATAATAACCCAAAAAAATTGGATAAGTTATGAAATAGCCTCCACAAAAATAGTGGAGTAAAATCATATAGAATAAGCCGCATAAACATGACATTGGAACAGTAAAGAACTACGAGAAAGAGTAATGCCAAAAACTCAAACAAATTCTGGAAGAGCCACAGAAAATCCAGAAAAGAAATCCACACTTAGTCCCATAAGGAGATCCACATAGCTTTCAAAACATCTCATTTCAAGAATCAACTCTTAGAGATCACATTTTTAAATTCTCAACTCTTAGAGTTAACATATCATTGAAAAATTATATTGATTAAAACAAAAAATCATGTCAAAGAGATTCATACCATATTTACAGACTGAAATTACTTTGAAAAGAACTCGAAAACATCGCATGAAGAAATGTACGCTTAAGATAACATAGATTTACAAAAAATTCCATTACAAGAATGTACTCTTACAGCAATCATAGCTTGGAATAAGACACAAATAAAATATCAACGCTAAGGGTTCACATGCAATGCACTTACATGGCACTTAAATAGAACTATTTAAGATGATACATGTTTAGAGCTCGTTTATAAGTCATAAAATCCAAAAATAATGTTTACAACCTGAAATAGCTCTTAAAGGAGCCCAAAGACGCATAAGGAAATCCACGTTTAGTGCTCACATAGCTTAAAAATAATCCAATTTCAAGGATGCGTTCATGAAGCTCACATGGTTTTCATTAAGTCACATTTTTAACGCATAGAGTTCACATAGCTCTGAAAAAAAAATTATTTTCATAAGTTAGTGCCCAGGACACACAAATAATCGTTAACATATCTTTTGCATAAATATGTCTTACAGATAAGTAGCCGACCTTTCTTTTAGACGAAAGACACTTTCTAAAGATGGAGATGTTCTAATACGGCATCTCCTATTTGGATAGGATACTTAAAAATAAGTTTATATGATCACACATACAAGGACTGTTTTATGAATAACAGCCCTATTAAAAGAACAACTTTTCAATACATGTAAAAATTCGTAACATTAAACATAGGATGCTTCTGTAGATAGAAGACATACATTAAAAATAGAAGACCTCTTTCGTTATTTGATTTAGAAGTCAACATACGGATATCAATTTTCAATATCTTCGTTCTTCCTTGCCCATCAAAGATTTGAAAAGGAAAATATGAAAAATAAAAAAGTTTTTGTAAAACTAAAATTACATTCAGAGACATAATCAAGATCTGAAAAATTGGTTACCATTAAATTAATTAACCCAAATCATTAAATTTCAGTTCTACTCACAATATTAAATTTGTTCAAACACGAATAGGTATAGCTTCTCCACTCATACCATTTCCCATTTTTACACTTACATACTTCCCAAAGTCAAATAGTAAAGAAAAATATTTTTGACACTTACCAGGCATTACGACGAATCCTGTAAAGAAATAAAAGACACATTAGAATCATTATGATAATGTCATTATTTAATTATTTTGATTGGAAAATATGAAGGCTATGAAGAAGGTTAAAGGTCCTAGTCAGTTGATCCCTTAATAAAACCCCGTAACTGCCTACCACTTAAAAACCAATCGTTCAACATACTACATACCTTCCCTAAATCAATAATCAATAGATTTTATATTTACTATTCCAATAACAACAAGCACTTATTGGTTTGTTTGGTCATCACCACATACTACAGACAACAACAACTACTAACTACAGGCAGGATAACGAAAAAAGTCATAACATTTGTTTTGGTCTTTAATGGGAAGCAAAAGTACCAAAGGTATCAACAGGCTACTTTAGACACACTTAGCACACACGATCATTTAATTTACATGATGAATGCAAGCAGTCATCCGACCATCCAGCCAGCCAGCCAACCAACAGCAGAATTGCAACACGACCCTATTTTATTTACAGCCTGGCAATAAAAAGACAGACAGCCAAACAACAACAACTCCAAAAATGGAACCCTAAAAGGATAAAACGAGCATTCAATTAAATGATATTTTCCCACGGCAAGTGAAGGCCACAACTGCTTCAGCAATTCCTCTACACACACGCAGATGATCAATGAATTAAACTGCAACGCAATAAGTTATAAGAATGTAAGTGGGTCTGTCCTCAAATGAATGAATGAAATTCTAAAGGAAGCCCAAAATCCTTGGCATACAATTTTCCAACAACAACAACACCACAAACGAAACGAAAGCAACAAGCAGCCTTGCACTTAAACTGGACCAAGAACAATCTGATTAACCCAAAACAAGACGAGCAATTTTCGCTGAGCTCAACAATCAAGTTGGCAAGGAAGAAATTGTGACAGCTGCAAACGTAATCCTTGAGAAAGGATGGACGGACTGCAAACTGCATGCATGTGTTTAACGAACAAATGAAAAACACCGTGTGAGAAACTTGGTCTCAGCTATGTTCCCACGGCCACGAGCCATAAGTTTTTTTGTTCATTCTCGATAAACATAAGGGAAAGAAAAGATCCTAACGACAAGGCGTACAATGATGATGGTGAGTTAGTTTTGCAGCTGTCACTTTTTTCACAAACTACAAAAAGGGAAGAAACCAAATCCAAGTAGGGCTCTCCTACAAAGGAAATGTGCACAACAACAATGCCATAGGCCAACAGAAATGCAAACACATGAGGGTTGTTTGTTCTTTACAAGAAGAGAGAGAATTCTTATTATCCTCCAGTGGAGGAGAGAGAGAGGCCAGAGTATAAAAGCCTCCACTGCCAAGGGAACTCATATCATTTTACAAATATCTCTTCAAGAGTAAAGAACAACAGAAAATACAGCAAAATGGAATACGCCACAAAAACTGAAATTTATCAGAAAATCAAAAAACCTCTATTGGAACGTCAAAGACGTGCTCGCATCAACAAATGTTTGGATGGTCTCAAGCAACTGATGATCGATCTGAATGGTGATAGTAAAATTTTACGCATGGACAAGGCTGAGATGTTGGAGACAACCATTACATTCCTGCAGTCATACAATAGGAAGATGAAAACAAATCAACAACACCAACAAATTCCCATAGATGCCTTCCGCAATGGATACATGAATGCTGTCAATGAAGTGTCTCGGGTATTGGCCTCAACACCGGGAATGACTGTTGAAATGGGAAAATCTGTAATGAGTCATTTGGGACGTTCTTACAATCGTTTGCAACAACAATATCAACAACAACAAGTTTCTTACCAATCAATGAAACAGCAGCCCTTGACTGTAGATTGTGCACCCTTGAGTCCGGCTTCTTCTGGTTATCACAGTGACGATAGTCTAAGTCCAGTCAATTCACCTGTTGCAGCACCCTCGCAACAACAACAACAAGTATGGAGACCTTGGTAAAGATTGCCAGAGCATAACAGCAGTAGCAATCAAAACCAAGCACAAATGCGCACACACACACATACACTGAAGTACCTCAATCTCCAAGCTCTACTTAACACTCAAACTGTGATAATCTCAAAACTGTGATACAACCTTACCCTTAGACAACACAATCTAGAAAATAAAATAAAATTAAGAAAATATATGAAATATTACAATATTTACAAAAACAAAACCAATTGCATTTTTTCATCACTTTTCCACAATCATTAGACAATAGGAAGAAAACCAGAATACAATTAGATTTTTGGCAAATCTTACCACATACACATACACACAACAGCATAGATGACGCCACATTCTAGTCTAATAAGAACATATAAAATTAATGGAAATTAACACATTTTCTTTTATTTTTTCACACTAAATTCATCACTTTCACTTTTTATTGATGAATTTTGAAGTGTTTTATTGATTTTTATTATTATTTTCACAAATAAGTTATATCTAACCACGGAAGCGAGAAAATTTTGCGCGTTTTTAAGAAATTTCAACTAACAACTGTCGTGGCATTGCCAGATGCAAAAAGTTTGTAGGAAATCGCAGTGTTGCCTTATGACCTTTAACAGTAACGTATAGCGCATGACAAGAGTTGCGTCATCATAAATAAAATGATTAGATTAGTTCAAAATTTAAAAGAAATAATAAATCATTGAAGAAAATCATTTCTGACAATAAATAAATTTAAAAGAATAATGATTTTTGAAAGAAAAATGATTAGGGGAAAAAGTAAAATTAAATAAAATAAGTTTGACCCATGGTACAATAAAATTATTCTCATGTATTCTTTTAAAAAATAAAAAAAAATTGTTCAGAAAATATTCAAATTCGAGTGTTCAAAATGCTTATTGCAACGCATGCATCGACAAAATCTACAGTTTTTGAAGTGAAATAAACCTTTAGAGATATGTAGAACATGATTTTGAAAAGAAATTTTGACCTTTCATTCAGTTTTCGCGGTTTTCAATTATTCATTCAGTAATTTTGATAGTAATTCTGACATTACAAGCCAAACAGGTAGACCTCTACGTTTACATTTTTTTCAAATTTAGACTACCTTGTCGTCATTGTACCATGGTTCGACCTCTTATATACATTTTATATAACTTGATTTGGTTTCCAAAACATTTTGAAAAATTTTTTAATTCTTTTGAATTTAAAATTCAAGTGTACCGCTTTTGGAAAGAATAAATTTGTGCATTTTGGGATGATAAAACTACATTGTTATACTGGGATTCCTGGAATTCCTGACGCCCCCTTCATGTTCCATTTTTTTTTAAATTAAAATCTGATAAAAAAAATATCAAATAACTTACGATAACCGATTTTTCCTTTATTAGTCTGTTCCAGGTTCGAAGGAAATTAGATTCTTCCAGGTGTATGGAACAGAGCATATGTTGCAAAACTCGGGCTTCATAGTTGTATTTTAAACAATTAATCGATTTTCCCTAACTTTATTAGGTCTGGATTGGAGTTTCAAAAGTGTAGAGGAGAGATAGACTCTAAACTACAAATCTATTGGAAAGTTCTTGGAAGTATTTGTTCAATAGAACCGGAAAACCATTTTAACTGATCCACTACGTCCACACATCGGCCAATATTAAAAATCAACCCAAAAAATAAATGCCTCCAATAACGCCGGTTATTATTTTAGTATGGCAATGCCAGTAGCAATTATTCTTTATCACTAATATGACAACGCTGCAATCATATGTTTTGCAGTTGCAATCTAATTTTTTTGCTCCGGCAACACTGACAGCCAAACAAATGACACTCAATTGAAAAAACTACGGCGGAAAAACTTGAATTTTGTTGGAGCGGATGGATACGGGTGAAAAATGTCGGTGAATATTACAGTCAATGGCAATTTTGTTTCCAAGCACTGCCAAAGGAATCCTTTGCTACTGGATCGTGAGAAGGCCAAAAAGGAGTTGGAAGAGGAGAGAAGAAAGAAGCGTTTGTTACAGGTAAATCCAGGAATGAAGGATCCTCTTCATTATAATTGAATACATTTTATTTATTTTCAGGTCCGTGAGCAGTCCAAGCAAATTGCTGAAAAAATTCGAAACGATGTTAAGGAAACAAAACGCAAAGAAATACAAAAATATGAAGCAACAAAAGCCCAAGAGTTTGAGACATGGCGTAAGCAGGCTTTGCAACGGAATAAAAATGAATTTAGTGAAGCGATATTTCAGCTAGGTGCAGCCCATAAAGTTGCCAAGGCTGAAAATCAAGCTAAAGCCGAAAAACGAACAGCAGCAAAACCTCAAAGTAGCTACAAGGACTTTAAAAAGCAAATGGAAGCCCGCCGACGTAACAACGAGAAGCTACAAAAGGAAAAACCAAGTGTTAGCAACAAAGGACAAAGTTGTTCAGATTGCCAGTACAAATGTAAGTGCTACACAATGGGTCAAGAGGAGGCACAAAAAAGAAAAAGAACTGCTTGCATGTCTTCAAGTGATTCGGAAACCCTTAGCAGTGATGGGGAAACAAGTAATGAAGAAACGTTAAAGGATACCCCATCACTTTCAAGTTTTTCTCCCTGTAAAAGTCCCACAACCACAACAACTGTAAGCAACAACATTGCCACACAAACTTCCCTATTACAACCCGAAAAGAATCTAAAACAAACTCCTGCAGTTTTTATGGATGTTGAGGTTGGTACTGATGATTCTGTGCTTATAGCTGGACCTGTAGAAATAAAGGATAAACATGTTGTAAACAACCGGCAATTTAGCAGCATCATAAGAGTTAGTCCCAAAAAATCGAAACAGAAAAAGGATGCACACACAAACAAACAAGTTCAGGTTACATCAATATCTACAACCACTACTTCATCGACAGAGAATAAGGAAAATTCCAACAAAAGTCTTGAAAATGTTTGCTTTGTTCCAGCAGCAAAACCAAAAGAAAAACGTTTTACACTTATATCAAATTTGGTAAAGAAACAAGAGGAACTGCCCAAAACTTCCAAAGAAATGTCACCGAATAAAAGAAGAACCAATGAAGTCGCAGAACATAGTTCACCGCGTAAATTTGTGGCAATGCCAGCACCACTGACCAGACCTCCAGTTGCACGTCCCATTGCCAAACCAATGTCACCGCCCAAGGAAAGTATGTCATCCAAATCCTCAAAGGTTACCACTAGAGGTCATACACACACACAACCACCAACAAAATCAATTTCTACAGCATCGGCCAACACCGTTGCCATGGGTAGCCTGGCCAGTAGCAGTGGTCGAGTACAATTTTACGATTACAACAGTAAATTGTCCAAGGAAGGAACCCAAAGTTCAGCCAACGTTGAGGTGTTACAGCAACGAGATTCGGTTCAACCCACGGCAATGGAGCAAGCTGTTGTCGAGAATCGTTTGCAGTACGATAGACAACAGGATTTGTGCGAGAAGCAGTAAGTATGGAAACAATGTGAATTAAAGCACGTGCTACATCTCGCTATAGTCATCTTATATTTCACCATAGTAACATTCGAGTATTTAAAACTTTAACGGGGTGTGTGTGAAAAAAGCAAAACTGGGTAAGGTATTGCTTCGTGAATATTTCAAGAGGACACTAATTCATTTTGGGTCAAACATAAAACTTTTCATTGGTTTTTAATTGACCTGTATGTAGAGGAAACATATAATGATTCTTTATTATAAGACCATAAAATATGTATGGCGATGGTCTACTTCGGACTTCTTCTTTATAATATCAGTTGTGTGTGCGAAAGTGTAGCCTTTGGTGCATAAAGTTTCTTTATTGGAAATGACTTGTAGTTACTATAAATTGCAGCTGTGTCATAGATTTACATATAGATGTTTTTATTTTCGTTGATTTCTAAGTATGGACAGGACTAGACTAGAACTGGCATTTTTATTTGATGTTGAAGACGATACGGCCCTCTCCACAATATTAAAATTGATTCGACTTTTGTATTCTGGTAACCTATTCTAATATTATGAAACAAAGCTTCCTCTCGCCCTTTGACAATACTCCGGCCATGAAAGAAAGAAGCGAGATAGACCCATAGTTTCTTTTGATGATCTGCATAGAATCACATTCTGAGTCGATTTATGAATGTCCGTCGGTCTGTCCATGTATTTTTGTAAACAATGTACAGGTCGCATTTATTGCCCGATCGATTTTGCCCAAATAAAATATTTAGCACAAGGACCAACCGTATTCAAATTGGAGATAATCGGAGAAAATTTAGATATTTGCTCCCATATATATTCGGCCAATATCAGTCCAAATTTCCTGAATTCTGGCACATACGACGGAGTTCAGTCAAGAAGCAAGTACACCAAATTTTGTGAAAATCGGTTCAGTTATAGCTATAGCTCCCATATATAAAGGGTGAGATAAAAAACTGCAAAAAAGTCAAGCGCAATAATTTTTACATTTTTTTTTTAATGTTACTGAATGAAAGCGAAAAATATCGGAAATAGCATCAAATTTTAAAATAAATTCAGATTTCTTCGAATTGGTCACCTTTGGCACGAATTACGGCCTTTAAACGGCCAATGAAACCGTCACACGCTGGCCGAATGTTGCTCTGCGGTTTTTAGGCCCATTTCCGGCGAAGCGCTTGCTTCAGGTGATTGACACTTTGATATTTTTTAGTGCCAACTTTGTTTTCCAAAATACTCCAGACACAATAGTCCACCGGATTGGTATCCGGAGATTTTGGCGGCCATTGTGCGCTGGAAATAAAGCGAGGAACCTCATTTTGTAACAATTCTTGGGTGACGCGTGCTGAGTTTGATGGTGCTGAGTCCTGTTGGAATGTCCAAGGTCTGCTGCCAAAATGTTTGCGTGCCCAAGGCTTTAATACACCCTCCAGAATATTTTTGCGATAATATTCGGCATTTATTCTGGCCCACACCATCACCATGGCCGGCGCTTGAGTTCTGGTGGTGAGATTAATACGAGCGGAGAGCGACCATCGGCTGTTATGACGGCCCACACCATCATCATGGCCGGCACTTGAGTTCTGGTGGCCAACCGAAGGTGCACATTTTCAGCTGACTTCTTTGGCAAGCAAACTCGATCATTTTGTTTGTTTACAAACTGCTGAACAACGAATGTTTTCTCATCGGAGAAAACCAAATTCGGCAGTTCACCACTTTCGTTCAAGCGAAGCAACTCTTTGGCTCTGTTGAGTCTATTTTCATTCTGTTGCGGTGTAAGTTCTTGCACATTTTGGAATTTCAATGGCCTTAACCCGAGCTCATTTTTCAATATTTGCCGAATGGAATATTGCGATAGGTTCAGCTCACGAGCCATTTTTCGGCCACTGTGACCCGGGGGGTTCGATCAAGTCGCTTCTTTACTTTTCGAACCATTTCTGCTGATGTTGCTGTTTTCTTCCGTCCTCTTTCTTGACGTCGGGCTACGCTACCAGTAGATGCGATGGTACGAGGCACAAAAGATTTATTCACATTAAAATGAGTGCTCTAGCGATCACCCCTTGTAGTTTCCCAGCCAAATATACCGAAATCACACTATCACGCTTGAATTCCATCACGAATAATTTTTTTTTTTTCTGAAAAATTCCCACCAAATTGCTTTTGTACGCTTGTAAACAATATAATGCTGATTTCTTCCGTCCACTTACTTGACGTCGGACCTACGCTACGCTACCAGTATCACGAAGCGATGGTACGAGACACAAAAGATTTATTCTCATTTAAGTGCTGGAGTGCTCTAACGATAGCCACTTCTGGTTTTCCAGCCAAATATAAAGAAATTACACTATCACGCTTGAATTCCATCGCGAATAATTCCACGCTTGAATTCCATTCTGGACAATTCTCACCAAAATGCTTTTGTATGCTTGTAAACAATATAATGAGCTGTCACTGGAATAATTTTAACAGCTGTCGGACGAGTGGCTTAGAAATGACAGCAGTCTAAAGTTGGTTGCAGTTTTTTCATCTCACTCTGTACAATTCCAAGTCGAATCTAAAACCTTTTTATGTTTATATAAAAATAATTACGGTAATAATTTATTTATATTTACAGAAAACTAATGATGGAACGTGGTCAGAAGGCTTTGGAGCGGGAACAAGTACGACGGGACTGCAATGATTTAACCGAAAAACTGGAGGCCCTAACCAAACAATATCCACGACAAGTGCCAATTAATGTAAGTTTCAAGTCTTATAGTATTCTAGAAGATATTGATATTTGTAATATTAAAATTTATTTTAAAATCTTTCCATTTTTTATATTTCCCAGGAAAACAATCCTCACATATTTGCCGATAAACAACTACGGCTGGAGGGTAAAATGAATTCAGCCGTTGAAAAACTTTTGAGCCGACCAACTATCATAACTTGTTCCGAAATTGATGAGCACGATAAAAAATCACCTCAACCCGCTCCAAGTAAACCTAAGGCAAATAATGAACTGAATGTGGGCGCTCTTAACTCGAGCAATGATCATCAGGCCGATGATGATGCTACTAGTGATAGTTGTTGTTCAATTCTTTTGGGTTATGTGGACGATCAAAGTCGTCAGGTGCGAAAAGACCTGGAACAGTGGTCGGATAAAGAAGACAGCCAAAAACAAAAACGTCTTAAGAATTTACTACAACGTCTTGATAAATTGAGGCATTCAATTATCCAAGAAATACAAAGTAATAAGGCTAATAAAACGGAAAAAGCGAAATCGAATACAAAACGTGATGACAACTATCGCCAGTTGATAGAAGATATTTCAACATTTCGTCAAGAAAGGGAGAATATTATGCTGGATGGTGTCGACGACTCTTCACGGCCTGAGAAGGGAAAGAAAACTCAAAAAGTAAGTGAAGAGAAGCAGGCAAAGAATATCCCCGATAAAAAACCCCTTGCGGAAAGAGAAAAACTGTTGGAACAAAAAGAAGCCATATTGGAGGAAAAGTTACGTGAGTTCTATGAACTTCAAAAGCAAAATTGTAAAACTACGAAGCCCAAAACTGAGAGTAACGAAAAAGAAAACAAGACCCAAAAATCCTCTAAAAATAATGAGAAAAGTGAGGATGATCCAAGCCAGGAGAACAAGGAAAACATTAATTGCAGCTCCTTGGAAACTCCTGTGGAAATTATCATAACGGTTCAGGGCGAAACAAAATGTGTTAAAATCCCAGTTAAAAATAACAAAAGAAAATCTGCTCACAAGAAGCCCTCACCCACACATTTAGCCACTCTGATAAAAAGCCCACATGCCAAGATGAGTGCCAAGAAGTTAACACCAAAAAAGATTGTGCCTGCAAAAGAACCTCCCCCACCGCCAAAGGCTCCATCTTTGGTAAGGCACAACTCATATGATTCCAATTCTACATCTTATATGAGTCTGCCACCACATATACCCACACAGTTGGGGGCTCTGGTAGACAGGACAACCGAAAATCACATGCCGTACAAATCTTCTACAGAAACTGATAGATATGGAAGACAGGACAAGCACAAGAAACCTGTACCTAACATAAATCCTTTGGTTGCTCAATATGTTCAACGACTACTGGGTATGTCACGCAAGACAATACAACGTTTGGCCGTGAGCTCCTCAGACATAGATACACCTAGTTCATCGATCATTAACACCTCGGGCAACAATAGCTCCACTGAGTCACTGCTCTCCGAGGAACGCATGGCCTTTGTGGAGAGTTTTGTGCATGAGAATCGCAGTTTTATTAAAGAATTGGAGCAATCTTTGAGAGCCCAACATAATGCCACACTGGAGGATAGTATGAAAGCATTTGATGAAATTTGGCGTAAGCGGTTAAAACAAAAACAGCAACAAACCTCAAAAACAAATAGCTCTCAAGGGCCAAGAAAAAGTCGTGAAGAAGTGGCTAAAACCAAGGCAACAGCATCTCCTAAGGCGTGTAAGAACCTAAAAACTCAAACAAAGGAATTGCAAAGTAAGGAGGTGAGCAGTCAAACACAAATTAAAGACAAGCCCAAGGTAATGCCAAAACTTCCCAAAAACTATCCACTTAACTTGGAACAATCCACTACCCAGGATACCGAGAGCAGTCCAGAAATGTTGGAAAAACTAAAAGCCAAATCGAAACAAAGACTCTCGGCCAAGGTTGATAAGGCAGTGGAAACAAAGCTTTCCGATGACATAAATAAATCCGAGTCGGATTCACAAATAGCCCGCTATGCCCAATTAACAGAGAACTGTACCCATCGCATTGCCGAGTTGACGGAACTTATAAATCGTGTGCGCGAAGAGAAGCAACGTCTCTTGGAAGTTACCCTCAGCTCGGTTAGTGACAATGGCAGGCAGTCGACAGAATATTTAGAGTTGCCCGAGGGCAAAAGTAGGACTAGCAACCACAATGAAGGTGAGTCCAGCGTGGCCAGCAGCACAGAGGAGGTCACTGCAGCCACTCTAAAATCGGCAACCTCATTGGATGCCAAAAATCAACCGATACAATTATCGAAAATGGATAAAAATCATCCGATTGCGGCCAGTCAGGATAGTGGCATTGCAGACAGCCGGCCCATAACAGCTCAAGAACATCGCCACGATCTCGAGCCTATATCACAAACCTCAACGGAATCACACAGTGCCGTGCAGCAGCGTAAAACCAAACCACCACCTACGCTAAGAAGGTTTAGTCCACAATTTCGGGAAGAAGATTTGGTTCATGAATTATCGACAATTTTGGAGGTGGACACTCCAGTGAATTCACGCATAAACACAGCGGCAAGTCAAAAATCTGAGGAGCAAATCACAGTGGCTAGAGAAATGGAGCCAGCTTCAGCTGCTCAGCAGAGTCACCAGCCGGTTGCGTTTCCCACATTCGAAGAATATGTACAGCGTATGAATTTGGATATAACACAACTAAATGATGAACAAAGTTCCCTCCTGCAATCCGAATTTTCGCATTTTATAGAAGACATGCAGAGGAGTCGTTTGAATGGGAAAGGTAAGTTTTTATCATTTGCTGGAAAATTGAGTGATTTTAATTTCCTCTCCCTTTAGAACTGCCATCTCCACCACAATATACCGAATTCCCCTCCATTAATGGTTATTTAAATCAAAGCAAGTCCGATGTGGCGGACCAAACAGAGGCGGTGGAAGATTCATTGGCCCAACTGCGAATCAATGATTTAAAGCCCCAACGCTTTCCCGCTGTTCGAGAATATGTTAAACAAAAACATAAGGAAAAAGCTGAAAGTGGTGGCCCCACAACATCTCCCGATGATGAACAGCAATTATTATTGGACACTGAGAGTTTGGAAAATATCACAGATATCGTAACAAATACCAATACGGAAAGTGAATCAGCATCATTGGATATTGAAAAGGAGTTAAAACAACGTAAAATCCTTAAACATTCTTTTCGTTACACAAAACCCAAAGATGTGTTTTCATCCACTGCCCATCATGATGTTGGAGAATTCTATCAGGATTTAATGGGCTGTGAAAGTGGCATTGAAAAACTATCGACCTCGGAAGCAACAACAACCACACAACTGGAAACCGATCTGAAGAGAATGGTTAATCAGTGGTCCAAAGAGAACAATGAAAAGCCACAATATCAGTCGTTAAGCAGTACCACATCGAGCTCAGCAATTGAAAAATTGGCAAAGGTAAAAAATCCATATAAAAATAATTATTAAAAATAAAATTACTTTTATTCCTTTTTTGTCCCTTAGTCTACTTCCTTAGATGAAACGTCTAATGAAAATGGACGCCCATTAAATTTACGCGACTTCTTGAAACGTGAGCTGCTAAAACATCCGAATTTCTCGACATCAAGTTCAACATCGAGTAGCATTGATGATTCGTTGCGTAGTCAATTTCTACACTCGCTCATTGGCTCGTTAACCCCGCGAACGAATGCAGCTACCAGTAAGTCCGGCCAACACACCCTGGATCGCCAAAAGACCTCAACTCCCGTTCCCGGCCATTCGTCGCAAACTCGCTCCACACCTGGCAGTGGTGAAAATCCTCTGAATACCACAAGCTCTCAATTGTTTTCCGGCGAAAGTCACATATCATCGGTTCATGGTGATCGTTCGAGAAATGCTGCAGAATCGGGCAATCAAAATTCCGAATAGCTAAGGCATATTGTGCGCATTTATATTTATTTGAAAGTGATTAACAAGACTTTTGTTGTGAAATGAAGGTAAGTTTTTATTTTGTAAATATGGGGCGAAAAGTTTTGGAATATTTTTGTTATAGGGGTCTTAAGAACGAAATAATAAGTCAATGTTTCCTTTGACTTGCCACAACGGCCACATAAAATTTTGCACGAAATAATAATCTCATATTCAAGAAGGGGTAAAAAATATAGAAAACAGTATTTAGATAAGACTGAGGACAGATTGGAAAATAGACAATATTGGCTCTTTCGAAACCCCCTTTAATGGTCAACATTAGCTATTGGCAATTCGATTGACCGAATTGTAAGTATTCCTTAAATCAGGAGGGCTATCGACACCCTAAACCCTTCAAATCACCTGGATCAGATGGTATTATTAGTGCCGATTCTTGGGGAGATTGTTTTGGCTTGCTTGTGTTTATAGAACTGTGGAGGTCCTTTGGACATTCTGCGGAAGCGGGGCCAAAACCAGTGATTACATTTCACCAGGACTGAACTTCAGCCACTAGAAGCCACATTCCTGACAGGGAGGTCGAACTCGTAACAACCCGTCTCTATATGGTATAGCTGTCTATATCGATAACTCAAAAATGGAAAGTGAAAAGACGGTAGGTGTCTTCTCCGAATTCCTGAACATCAAAATCTCCCTAAAACTTAACAACAACTGTAGCGTATTCCAAGCAGAAATCGTTGTTATCAAAAAGCCATGGATCTGTCCCAAACAAAAATAGTGATCTGAACAGGGTGAGATGAAAAAACTGCAACAAAGTCAAACGCCATAATTTTAACATTTTTTTTTTAATTTTATTGAATGAAGGCAAAAAATGTCGGAAATAGCATCAAATTTTAGAATAAGTTTAGATTTGTTCGAATTGATCACCTTTGGCACGAATTATGGCCTTTAAACGGCCAATGAAACCGTCACACGCTGTCCAAATGTTGCTCTGCGGTATTTTGGCCCATTCCCGGCGAAGCGCTTGCTTGAGGTTATAGACACCTTGGTATTTTTAGTGTCAACCTTGCTTTCCAAAATGCTCCAGACACAATAGTCCAACGGATTGGTATCCGGAGATTTTGGTTTCCATTGTGCGCTGGAAATGAAGCGAGGAACCTCATTTTGTAACAATTCTTGGGTGGCGAGTGCTGAGTCCTGTTAGAATGTACAAGGTCTGCGGCCAAAATGTTTGTGTGCCCAAGGCTTTAATACACCCTCCAGAATATTTTCGCGATAATTTTAGGCATTTATTCTGATGCCACGGTCGATTTATACGAACGGAGAGCGACCATTGGCTGTTATGGCGGCCCATACCATCACCATGGCCGGCGCTTGAGTTCTGGTGGCTAACCGAAGGTGCACATTTTCCACCGACCTCTTTGGCAAGTAAACATTTTGTTTGTTTACAAACTGCTGGACAACGAATGTTTTCTCATCGGAGAAAACCAAATTCGGCAGTTCATCACTTTCGGCCAAGCGAAGCAACTCTTTAGCACTTTTAGTCTATTTTCTTTCTGTTGCTGTTGCGGTGTAACTTCTTGCACTTTCTGGAATTTCAATGGCTTTACCCCGAGCTCATTTTTTATTATTTGCCGAATGGAATATTGCGATATGTTCAGCACACGTGCCATTTTTCGGCCACTGCGATGCGGGTTTCGATCAAGTCGCTTCTTTATTTTTCAAACCATTTCTGCTGATGTTGCTGTTTTCTCCCGCCACTTACTTGACGTCGGGCTACACTACTAGTATCACGGTAACGAGCGATGGTACGAGGCACAAACGATTTATTCACATTTAAATGCTGGAGTGTTCTAACGAAAGCCACTTGTGGCTTTCCAGCCAAATATAAAGAAATCACACTATCACGCTTGAATTCCATCGCCAATAATTCCACGCTTGAATTCCATTCTGGACAATTCTCACCAAAATGCTTTTGTACGCTTGTAAACAATATAATGAGCTGTCACTGGAATAATTTTAGCAGCTGTCGGACGAGTGGCTTAGAAATGACAGCAGCCTGAAGTTGGTTGAAGTTTTTTCATCTCACCCTGTATTTCAGAGTTCTTTCTTCAGTATATTTACCGGTTTTGTCATATCTCACAAACAGTAGTAGCTTAAAACTTTAAGAGTTTTAAAACCTAAAATTAAAATTTTACTCATAGTATATCATGGTATTCACATCAGTCAAACCTAAAACAGTTCTTACTTGTGATTTTTTTAATTACAGGACTTACCCATGCCGTTATCGCTGTACATTCCACGCCAAGACATTACCTTTTAAATGTGTGTGTATTAAATAATTATTTTTTAAAAGCCTATATTTATTTCTATAAGTTTAGCTATTAACTATATTTTTAATTATTCAACAACTACCAAGAAGCTTTAATATGGCAAAGATGTACGTCCAAATTCCGACTTTTTGCATTTTCATTTAAATTTTTAATAACGAATTTTCTAGAAAAAAAATTATATTTACATACCACAAATACGATATCGGAAAGTAGTGCAAATGAATGTTATTTGTTGTAATTTTAAATATTTATTTGTGTAAAGCTTTTGTAAGAAAGTTTTGTAGACAAAAGTGTTTTATATATTTTATTTTCACATTTTATATACATATACAAAAAAAAAAACAAATGCTATATTTTATTTGTTGTTTGACTCTAATTTTAACTACAGACAGTGGTCGCACGATTTCATGTTGTTTATTAAATGAGATAATGTTATTCTTTCTTTCTTTTTGGTATCAAAATGCGATCATTTCAACTTAAAATTACAAAAAAACATCAAATACAATAGTTATTTTTATCTTAAAATTAATATTAGATAATTTTTTTAAAAAAAACAAAAACACATTTGAATGAATTATGACAAAAGAAAAATAGTAGTATTAGTAAAATTCGCACTTGTTTCATAAAACTCTTATATAATAATAAAAAATAATAAATACCTAAATTGATTTAAAATCAATTCCATTTTTTTGTGTTGTTTTTTTCTTCTTGTTCCCAGATAACAATGTTTTTTTCATAAGTACTTTTTTTAACACTTATAAGTACTTTAGTTTTAAGTAAATAATTCCTGTTTTAAGCACCATGATAGGCTTTACTGGCCATTTTCTTAAGCGCATCCGCTTCGCTTCCTGTTGCTTCGACCATTTGTCGTAAGGCACCATTGGGATTGCGTAACAGCACATAGGGTATATCAAATTCTTTGGCCTGACCAGCATCCATAACCAAAATGCGATCACTATCCATAACCGTTTGCAGGCGATGGGCTACAGTTAAGACGGTACAGTGTTTGAATTTAATGCGAATTGTCTGTTGTATCAGGGTATCGGTTCTGTAAGATAAATTGGGGAAGACATGGTATTCTTTCTTTCTTTCTTTCTTTATTTAATTCATACTTAATACTAAAGCCTCCAAGGCCAATTAATTGTATTAATAAGGTACTCAATATCAAGAATTTAAATTTATTTAAATTTAAATTATTCTAATAAAATTTACATTATTTTCAATTAATGGCATGCTGAGCAATGAAAGAATAATAGTGGTAAAAATCGTTGAAACCCCTTCTATATTCAGAATAACTTTAAGAGGTATTTTTCCTTAGCAGACGGTCAAGTGTTAGTTGGATTTTTTTAAGAATTAAAACACTTTATGGAAGACTTCGGTTACCATTCATATTCATTACACCTCAATAAGAACTAAAAATCGCCTATCTATTGGGATTTCATTTATTCTATCCCGTGAAGGTCTAAAAGGAATTTTAGCTATGAAATGCCATCTTTCGAAAATCTTTCAAAATGTTTTGTAGAAATATTTTACAAACTAAACTCCAAAAGTAAATCAATCTGGCGAAAGCACCTATTCTATCTCAGAATGGACTTCTACTTTTAGAAGAGTCCTAAAAGGGACATGAACACGCAGAACTTAAAAAAGACTGCAAATGTTTTTTATTTTTGGAGCTATTCTATGAAAAGAAGTAATTTAAAATGTCCTATAAGAGAACACTTATAAAAAAAATGCATCCAAAGGGGTATTTTAGAAAAAGACCTCTGAAGGACATTCATTGTCTGAAAATTTCCCAAAAGTCGTCATTGTATAGAAAACATCTAAAATGAGTTGATTTATTAAATGACACTCAATATTTTTCTGTAAAAAGGGGTTCTGAGAGGTTGTTCTGTAGTATTCTATATCTGGAAGACTTCCGAACAGTATTGTATCTACAGACGAACTTCAAAATTTCTTCTATATGCAAATGACATCCAAAAGATCTACATAAGAGCCCCAAAGTTCTTTCATCTAAATAGAACTCCAAAGGGTTTCCTGTTAAAATAAGACCCACAAAGGGCTTCCTATTTATGGAAGACCTACAGAGGGCCTTCTATTAATGGAAGACCTACAAAGAGTCTCCTTTCCATAAGAATCCCAAAAATGTTTTAAACAAGTTCTCCAAAAAATCATTTAGAATGTTTTCCCTGCAAATGGCCCTCTGACAGGTTCTCCTTCAGTTGACAACATCTAAAAGGCATATTATCTGCAGAAGAACTGCAGTATTCAGAAGAACTGCAAAAGGGGTACTATCTTCATAAGACATCCAAAAAGTCTTATATCTACATAAGAGCCCTGAAACACTTTAATCTACAAAAGACCTTCAAATAGTCTACTAATTATTGAAGTAATGGAAGACCTCCATACTGTATTTCGAAAAGAAATCCCAAAAGATGTTTTCAACTACAATTTCGCCAAAAGATCTTTTCTGTCTGGAAGTCTCCAAAATACCTTTATACTTTAGAAAACCTCCCAAAAGACAATCTTTTCATTAAAGGCCGCGAAAAGGTTGACTTTCTATAAAAGACTTCTTTATAAACGACCTGCAGAAAGTCTCGTTTCCAAAAGAATCCCAAAGGATATTTTATACAAGACGGTCTACAAGAGGTCTCTAAAATATCTTCATCATTGAGAAAACCTCCGAAAGGCATCCCTCCCATAAAAGGCTTCCCATCTATAAAATATCTCTAAAAGTCCTATTTTCTATAGAAAAAAATCTTCTTCATATAGAAGAACTTCCAAATATTGTTATTTCCCATTGACCTCCGTTTGTTTTCTATGCACTGAAAGTTGTGTATATTTCCTACAGAAAATCTTCTTTGTCTGGAAGTCTCCAAAATATCTTTATTGTTAAGAAAAACTCCGAAAGGCTTTCTTCTCATAAAAGGTCTCCAAAAAATTTCCTACCTATAAAGGACCTCCTAAAAGTCTTCACATAGAAAACAGTATTCTATTTCAAAAGTTCTATTCGAAAAATATCTCTTAAACATTTACACCTAAAGGAGGTCTTCAACATTTTTTTCTATTTCCCAATGACCTCAGAAAAAAAAGAATTGTATTCTCTCTGTAGAAAACATCCACAAAAACATCTATTTGTGAAAAACCTCGAAAAGGTTTTCTCTCTACAGAAGACTCCCAAAAGATCCTCTATCTTTAAAGATCTCTAAAAAAATCCTATATAAAAAGTCTTCAGGTCATTAAGAAATCTTCTATTCACAGAATATCGTAAAAATAATTTTTCTATGGAAGGCCTTCAAATGGTTGGCAAAAGATCATACTCCATTTTTAAAAGACGTTGAGAGAATTTTATATCTATATATGTAGTTTTCTATGAAGGTATTCTGCAGAAAAAATGACTTCTGGATCGTCCTTGGATAGAAAACATTTTAAGATCCTCTGTAGGTCGCAGACCATTCAGATAGAAAATCTTTCAGGATATTATACAAATTTTTTGGGGTCTTCAGCAAATTGTTTGGAAGTCTTCTCTTAGCAGAAAAAAATCCTAAAGTCTTCCGAATGTCTACTAACATCTAGGGAATTTTTTTTAAATTTAAATAAATCATTTACTCACTGGGGATCCACATTGGCAGTAGCTTCATCCAAAACCAAGATCTTGTTGTTACGCAAAACAGCTCGAGCCAAGCAGATCAGCTGGCGCTGGCCCACACTGAAATTACTGCCGCGTTCTGTGACAAGGAAATCTAAGCCGGGTATGGCACTCTTTAACTCCACCTGAAAATTTTGTAATAACAATCAATTTCTATTACCCAATTCCCTAATCACAAACGTTATATTACCTCCTCCAACGCCTTCCATATATCCGCATCGGAATACTTCTCAAATGGATCTAAATTGTAACGTATCGTTGCCGAAAACAGCACCGGATCCTGAGGTATTATTGAGATTTTCGAACGTAACGATTCGCGGGTAATGCTACCCGTTTCGATGCCATCAATTACAATGCCACCCTCAATATAAGCCAAACGAAACAGCACACCTATTAGTGAGGACTTTCCGGCACCCGTGCGTCCCACAATGCCCACTTTCCAGCCGGGTTGTATGGTTAAATTTAAATTCTTCAATACAGCCTCACCCTGAGGATCGTAGCGACAGGACATGTTACGGAATTCAATGAGACCATGTGTGGGCCAACTATTGGGCGGTTGTTTGGTTTCATTGCTTTCCCTCTCCAAATCGGTGTATTGTAGGACTCGCTCCACGCTGGTCATTTGTTGCAGAGATTCAGCGACTTGGCGTACACCGTATTGCACCATACCGGTTAGGATCATGGCTTGGGAAATTGCCAAACCCACGTTGCCGCTGTAGGTTTCTGTGAGAATTAAAAAAAAAATCAAATGAGGAATACATTTGATTCCATTGAAGTGGATCATACTTACGCCCACTAATTATGATAAAACTAAAGGTAACACAGGTCAGGAAACAACAGCTAACACAATCCAGCCACAATCCCAGGGCAGTATTGGAGGCCATGGTCAGCTGCCATACCCCACTGTGAACATCTTGCAATTGATCGAACTCCTTGGCCACGGTGTCCTGTAAATTTCGAGATCTTATGGTGGCCAGACCCGTTAGGGAGGCCGACAAATGAGAGAATACAGGACTGCGACCTGCAAAGATTTTGAGAATTATTTCGGATTAATTTTACACATGTATTATTACTCACATATCCCCTCCAAACGTTTCAAATCCTGTGATGGCCTCAGGTACATTTTCAAAATCAAACAATCGGTTATGGCCACCACAGCAATGGCCAACATAAGTATGGGATTGACCACACATATCACCACTAATATGCCAAACATCACCAAGGCGATTTGTATGAAATCCATCATGGCCTTGGGTAGGAATTCATCTATGGCGCCCATGTCTTTGGAGAAACGATTAAGTATCCGACCCGATGGATTTTGATCAAAGAAACGCATTGCAGCATTCAATATGGAACTGAACATACGATCGTGCAGAACCTTTGAGGCATGCATACACACTTTGAAGAAGAGGAAACCGCGAAAGACGGTCATCTGTGGGATGGAACGAATAGCATAAAAATTAAGACTTATAAAAGAAAGTAAATCAAAGAGTTAAAGTCCTGGATACAAAAGGGAGTTTCCCGGACATAAGTAGCATTTTTTGCTGGCAAGGAAAGTAGTACAAATACGGCCTATAATTTGAGCTAGGAAGCCAGTCAATAACTTATGCCAGAAAAGAGTTTTTGAGGGTTTAGGGCCTAATATTTATAGGATAGGAAAAGGATAGTAGAAAGTCTTCCAAAGTAGGAAGTCTTCCAAGTCTTTGTTAGGAAATTTATTGGTTTTCATCTCCTCCCTTCCTTCCCATTCATTACTCACCACAACAACACCAATGATGAGAGCACCATAGATATAAAGACATTCGAATGTTGTCAGGACCGTGGTTTCATTAACCGAACGCAGATATTCCTGTTGCGTCCAAATATTTACAAAATAATCCGAGCCACTGCAAACAACCTGAGACAACAGCATAACGAAGACCATAAAACTGAAACCAAAAAGTGTGCTGCCAGCCCTGAAATATTCCATCCAAACACGGGCACTGACACCACCATCAGCCTGCTCTTCGTCCATTTCCTTGCTCTCGGATTCATCGCGTTCAGCACTTTCCTTAAAAAACAAAACATCAACAATTATCTTAGTTTGTTCACATTCCCCAAACTTACTTGCTTCTTTATCAAAGGACTCTCCAGTGTACTACTTTTCCTTCTCACCGCCTGGTAGCCCGGCGATTCTTGTTGCCCATCAATGTAGGGTATGTCTTCCTCATCTTCATACAGACTATTATCTTCCGATATCACACCATTTGGACTTGCCGTCTTTTGTCTATCCAAGAGCTTGGCAAAGTCCAATTCACTTGATATCAGATCACCATATGTACCCTGTCTGGAAACTTTGCCATTTTCCACAATGACAATCCAATCGGCTTCATTTAGGAAATGTATTTGATGAGTGACTAAAATTCGGGTAGCCTTTTCACCGGCCAAACGACTTTTGGGACCAATGACCTGATCGAACAAATGCCGTCCCACATGGGCATCCACTGCACTTAGGGGATCATCCAAAAGATAGATATTTGCCGATTTATAAATTGCTCGAGCCAAGCTTATTCTGGCCCTTTGGCCACCGGACAGGGAGGCACCTCTCTCGCCAACCACCGTCTTGTCGCCATTGTGTAATTGCTCAAAATCCGTGGACAAGGCACAACATTTGGTAATCTCATCATAACGTTTGCGGTTGAACTCCTCACCAAAGAGAATATTGTTACGCACCGTACCGGTAAACAGCCATGGTTCCTGGGCAGCATATGAGATGTTGCCTTGGACTTCGACATCACCATGGGTCAATGGAAGTTCTCCCAGTATCAATTGGATAATGGAACTCTGTAAAGAGAAGAGAATGAATTATAACCGTTTAAATTATATAAAAATCCCGACATAGCCTGGCGTCATGGATCCTTTCCGAGATGTCAAACTCCACTCTTTTAAGAATACATTTCTGGCTATGTCGCTCATGTAACACCTACCTTTCCCGCCCCAACCGGCCCAATAATGGCACACAATTGACCCTTGGGTATGATCAAATCAATATTCTGCAAAGTTTTCTGTGGCTTCAGATTATCCCAATTCGCTGAGACATTTTTCAGCACAACCGCATGCTTATCACCCTCAATATTGCTTTTGTACACCAATCCTGGAGTATTCTCCTCACAGCCTTCCATTTTCAAGAATGTCTGCACCCGTTTCAAAGAGACCAAAGCCTCAGCACCAAATGACACAGCCAAGGGATACCAAATCGCTGCCACCAATTGAAAGATGTTATAATAACCAGCCATGGAAAAGACAATATCAGCCGACACAGCACTGCCCAGCAGTACCGCAGCTGCTATTGTTATATACAGAGTGGAACGTTCCGTAAAGACCATGGTACTCAAATAGAAACCTCTCAAATAGGAGGCATAACGAATTTGTTTCACCTCACGGCGTCGTGCCTCTTTGACCACGTTCTGGAAGGGCTTCTCCCAGGCATACATTTTTATCACCTGTATACCCTGAACCAGTTCATTCATTATGCCCACCCGGGCATCGGTGCGTTCGGCGATTTTCATGCGTAATTTTGAGGCCAATTTGCTAAGCCCAGTTTGTACGGGTATTGTTTTCAGCAGAAGTCCCACCACACCCACAACTGCTGCAACGCCAATTTTCGTCCATATCAAATAGCAAATCAACACCGATTGCAGTGGAAGAATCCAAATCCAATGGACAAATATGAAACCATAATCCAAACGATTAACATCGTTCGACAGCAAATTGATGAGGTAACCTGCCGGAGTTTGTCCCGCCGACTTCATGGAAAGACTTATTGTCTAAAAAAAAGAAAGTGAGTACTTTAATCATTTTGAAATCGTATTTTGTGTCGACGACTTACCTTCCGATAGATTAGAGAACAACAGGCAATACGCATTCGAGCTCCCATCAGCCTTTGCCTCAAGTCCACATGGTGTATGAGAAAACAACCTATGAGTGTCGATATCACCAATATTGCTCCCAAACTGTGTACATCATTCCAAATGTAGTCTATAATGTCATTATATTCTGGTGGATCACTTGGTTCCGCTGTTACGGAACTGAAGTTATTACCGGGTAGCAGCTTTCCATCATCCGGTGGCAATAGATTGGGATTTGCTGAAAGGGAATAATTAATTGAAAGTGGTGAGTATTGCAATAGCTTTAAATGTTTTGGTTTTTAATATTTTTTCTTTTAGGAAAACTCCAAAAAGGAACTTAATCAGAAAAGCTATACTGGGAGGGAGCAAAAGGAACTCCAGGGTAGAGGTCGCCTGGAAAAGTATTTAATCCCCAAATTTAAGGTGATAACTCAACCTAACCAGAAGCTCACTGGTACGAGCGGGCAAAACAAATACATTCGTATTCGTGGAGGTTAACTGGAAATATATTTAGTACCCAAATTCTTGAAGGGGATAATGCAGCTTAACCTAAAGGTGTCTGCTATGAGTGACCAAAGGGATTTCTATTGTAGAGAATAGTCCATATTTATAAAGTGTTCTTGTGTAGGTGACTTGTATACAGGCGTAACCATAGAAAACACCCCATAAGGAGGATAGTACTCTACAAGGCCTTCAAGAATTATTTTAAATAACCAGAAAACCTTCTAGAGGTCTTCAATAGCCAAAAGATCTTCTAAATGTCATCTGAAAATAGACGACAGATGACTCCCTGGACCACCAACTCTTTGTGTAGACTCCCTAAGTCTCGTGCTAGTCTATGTATAAACGGCTTTCAGGTACTACAGCTTGCCTATGTGTAGATGACTCCTTGGCTCTCCAGCCTTTCAGATATCTTCTTCAGCAACAGAACTTCTTCCGGTCTTCTGTATAAAGAATACCTTTTAGAGATCTTTTATATAAAGGATTTGTTAGGGTATCCTATAGAATGATGACCTCCTAGAGGTATTCAAAATAAGAGACCACTGTAAAGTCTTTTATTGACGAAAATTCTCCTAGACCAAAGGTAGAGTACCTGTTGTTGTCTTCTATAAGAAGAATGCCTTCTAGAGGCCTTGTATAGAACCCCCATACCACATCCTACTGATGAAAGAACTCCTATATAACTTTCAAGGCTATAATACCTTCTTAAGAAACACGATGCATAGTAAGCCTTCTAAAGGATTTCTATGGAGATTGAGACGGTTAAGATTTTTATACATACTTTTGCCAAGTTTTGTCGAGTTTTTTTTCAGATTTAAATATAGCTCCCATATATATGTATTTCTCTTTAATTTGATGTTAATGATGTTGATCATACGATCAAGTTCCGACCTATGCATTCGATTTTTTAGTGTATAACAGCGGTATATCGCATTTTATGAGCCGCATGGTTATTCAAAAATTTGACACCTTTTGTGTGGGAGTTACCAGAAGAGTAGGTCGATATCTATCATCTTCACACTATGTCTTTTGCTAGTAGAAATAATGGGATGTGTGAAATATGAAAAGAATCGATGCACATTTCGCCTTTTCTAAGAGTTCATGGATATTCAAAATTTTGACGCTTTCTGGGGGAGGTACCAGAAGGAGTGATCCGATATAATCCATCTTCATACAAGATCTTGTGTTAGTAGAATTATTAAGATGTGACGAGTTTGAAAGTGATTGGATGCTCATTTCGCTTTTTATGAGCTTCGTGGTTATTCAAAATGTTGATCCGTTGTGGGGGAGGTAGCGGAAAAAGTTGTCCGAGATATATTTCATCTTCACGCCAGACCTTGGGTTAATAAAAGTATTGTGATGTGTGTAATTTGAAGACAATAGGACTCTTACGTCACATTTTATAAGAGTTATAATTATTAGAATTTTTGAACCTCTGTGGGGGAGGTACTTAATGGAATGGACCAATATTGTCCATATTCTCAGCACTGATGCAAATATTAGGATTTGCAAAGTTGTAGAAAAATCGGATTATCCTTTCTCTTTCTGTGCAGTGAAATATTTTTATTGAAAATGTTGACTTTTTGGGGAGATACCAGAAGCAGTGGACCGATATTGCCCATCTTCGAACTCGATATAAGTTGGATGATAAGATTACAATGTACCAAGTTTGGAGCAAATCGAATACTCCCTTCGAGCGTAATCGTGCGCATCAGCCAGACAGACGGACATCGTAAGATCGACTCCAAATGTCCTGAAACGGATTTGGTCCAAAAAGACCTGGGGTCTAAAATCGTTATTTCGATGAGGCACGTTTTGGCCGTAACAAATTATGAATACCCTCTGTAGCCATATGGCTGTGGGCATAATAATGAAACTGGTCACAACCCATCACCCCCAACCGCAAGCACCCTTTGTTATTTGATACAAATAATATGTTGCTCTTTTTTTTCATATTCTCATATTTATGTATGACCGTATGTGTATATGTGCATGCATGTGGTTTTGTATTGTCCAAACAATTAAATTACTTACAGCCTTCATTATTGTTTTGATTAATATCTATAGAACGGACATTTCGATCAAGAGTCCCATTTCCATTCGCCAACAAAGTCGTTGCCATCGACAACACATCTCCATCACCGTCCAGGGTGAATGTTTTGCCGGAGTCATTGTTGATAATTGGCGTTGTGGGCCTCTGGAATTGCAGTAATAATTGAGCTAATACGGCGGGAATAAGTGATCTGTAATAGAATATAAGTGCAATGAAATGTCAACAACAATCAGAATAATAACAACAATAATGTTTTAATAAATATGATACGATATCAATATCATATTCACATGATTAAGCACCAGACAGTATTACAAATTCCAAAGAGAACTTTTTTTTCAAAATAAATAAATGAAAAAAGTGCTTAAACATCATTGACGTAGTTATGTTTTGAAAATTAAGGGGGTTCATTGAACGTAGTAGGGAAATGAATTTATGTTTTGGGGGAATTTCAATCACATGATAATTAAAACCGAATTTCTCTATAACTTAGCTATTTGAACGAATTGGTGAGGACTTCGTTTTAAACAGGGTGAGATGAAAAAACCGTAACCAACTTCAGACTGCTGTCATTTCTAAGCCACTCGTCCGACAGCTGTTAAAATTATTCCAGTGACAGCTCATTATATTGCGTACAAGCGTACAAAAGCATTTTGGTGAGAATTTTCCAGAAAAAAAGTTATTCGTGATGGAATTGAAGCGTGATAGTGTTATTTCTTTATATTTGGCTGGAAAACCACAAGTGGCTATCATTAGAGCACTCCAGCATTTAATTGTAAATAAATCTTTTGTGTCTCATACCATCGCCGTCATACTGGCCCGACGTCAAGGAAGTGGACGGAAGAAACCAGAATCAACAGCAGAAATGTTTCGAAAAGTAAAAAAGCGACTTGGTCAAAACCCGCATCGCAGTGGGCGCAAAATGGCTCGTGAGCTGAACATATCGCAATATTCCATTCGGCAAATAGTGAAAAATGACCTCGGGGTAAATCCATTGAAATTCCAACAAGTGCAAAAACTTACACCGCACCAGAAAGAAAATAGACTCAAAGGAGCTAAAGAGTTGCTTCGCTTGGCCGAAAGTGGTGAACTGCCGGATTTGGTTTTCTCCGTCTCCAATGAGAAAACATTCGTTGTCCAGCAGTTTGTAAACAAACAAAATGATCGTGTTTACCTGCCAAACAGGTCAGCTGTAAATATGAACCTTCGGTTGGCCACCAGAACTCACGCCGGCCATGGTGATGGTGTGGGTCGCCATAACAGACGATGGTCGCTCTGCACTCGTATTAATCAACCGTGACATCAGAATAAATGCAGAATATTATCGCGAAAAAATTCTGGAGGGTGTATTAAAGCCTTGAGCACGCAAACATTTTGGCCGCAGACCTTGTACATTCCAACAGGACTCTGCACCCGCCAACCAAGAATGGTTACAAAATGAGGTTCCTCGCTTCGTTTCCAGCACAAAATGGCCACCAAAATCTCCGGATACCAATCCCATGGACTATTGTGTCTGGAGTATTTTGGAAAGCAAGGTTGGCACTAAAAAATACCCAAGTGTCGATCACTTCAAGAAAGCACTTCGCCGGGAATGGGCCATAATGCCGCAGAGCAATATTCGGGCAGCGTGTGACGGTTTCATTGGCCGTTTGAAGGCCATAATTCGTGCCAAAGGTGACCAATTCGAACAAATCTAAACTTATTCTAAAATTTGATGTTATTACCGACATTTTTTGCTTTCATTCAAAAAATTTAAAAATTATGGCGTTTGACTTTGTTGCAGTTTTTTTATCTCATCCTGTATAACTTAGCTGTTTTAAAACAACAAATTGGTGAGGACTCCGTCATAAAAATACTGAAGGTAATGAGCGTACGGGCTTGGAAAATATTATGTTGGGAATTTTTTCTGACATGTCTGTTATAGAGAACTTCGGCTACTTGTAAATAAATTGTTCGACTTACTTAATTGTAATGTAAATTAAACTGATAAGACCATCAACAATGGCCGAACGCCAAAATGTCTTCAGTATGGCAGTGCGTAACAATGGTTCACGATTTTTGGCTCTAGATTTTTCCACTTCCTTGTACCAATTTCTGAAAAGGAAATTTTTAAAAAATTATTTCAATTAAGAAAACATCAATTATTGCGGAAGTGCAAAGTAGAACACCATATTTTTTTAATCTATTTCGCAATCCGAATTTTTTTAATATTTACCTCTCCAATTGATCACCCAACTCCTCGGAACAATCCTCGGGCAAGCATTTCGTAAGATCATCTGTATTCAAACCCTGGCGACATCCTTTGTACAGCATCGGTATGGACCAGCCAAATATTAGATGGGAAAAAATATTCGCCAATCGTCGCGGATTTTCTTTTTGTGGCTTCTTTGAACTATCCATTGCGGTGTCGGTGGTATTATAGCTGCAATAATAAACTAAATTTAGATTCGTTTTAAAAAATATAATAAAAACCATAACAAATATACATATCTCGTCTGACTTTACCAGACAAAGGTGTGTGAGCTTATCAGAGAGGTAATCAATTTCTATTTTTTTAATGTTTGATATCTCATTGACTGATAAATGTTGTTTTTAATTCCAGATTGGTGATATTTGATATAATTATGTTATGATTGATAACCACCACAAGAAATCTTCCGATCTCTACCATCTTTATAACAGATCTTGTGTTGATGGACATATTGAGATGTACCAAGTTGGAATGGAATTGGATGTTAATTTCGCGTTTTATGAGCTTCAGGGATACTCAAAATTTTGACCCTTTGTGGCGAAGGTACCAGAAGGAGTGGACTAATATATCCCATCTTCACACCAGACCTTGGGCAAATAAAAATATTATGATGTGTGTAATTTGAAAAGAACTGGATGCTTATTTCGGATTTTATGATCGTTTTGGCCATTTGAAATTTTGACCCTTTATGGGGGAGGTACCAGAAGGAATGGTCCCTACCTTCTTTATATCAGACCTTGTGTTGTAGGAAATATCGAGATGTGCCAAGTCTGAATGGAATTGGATCTTACTTTCGCGATTTATGAGCTTCATGGTTTTTCAAAATTTTGACCCTTTGTGGGGGAGGTACCAGAAGCAGTGGACTAATATATCCCATCTTCACACCAGACCTTGGGCAAATAAAAATATTATGATGTGTGTAATTTGAAAAGAACTGGATGCTTATTTCGGATTTTATGATCGTCTTGGCCATTTGAAATTTTGACCCTTTGTGGGGGAGGTACCAGAAGGAATGGTCCGATCTCTACCTTCTTTATATCAGACCTTGTGTTGTTGGAAATATCGAGATGTGCCAAGTCTGAATGGAATTGGATCTTAGTTTCGCGATTTATGAGATTCGTGGTTATTAAAAATTATGACCCGTTGGCGGGGGAGGTACCAGAAGGAGTGAACCGATCGTTTCCATCTTCACAACAGCAGTAAAAATATTGTGATGTGTGTACTTTGTCTTTGCAGGTGCACATCTTCGTATAGCCCCCATATAACGGTACCTCCCGATATTGGGTATTTTGATGATTTTATCGACATTATTTACCGGAATTGTTTCAAATTTGGTATTTGAAGTTCGTAATGGATACTGCAGCCTATGACAGAAAATTGTCCTTGCAAGTGCACATCTTCGTATAGCTCCCATATAACGGTTCCTCCCGATATTGGGTATTTTGACGATTTTAGCGACATTGTTTATCGGAATTATTTCAAATTTGGTATTTGAAGTTCGTAATGGATACTACAGCGTAAGACAGAAAATTATCTGTGCAGGTCCACGTCTTCGTATAGCCCCCATATAACGCTACCTCCCGATATTCGGTATTTTGATGATTTTAGCCGATTTTTTTTAAGTTTCGCATTTGAATATTGTAATAGCCTTTGACAGAAGTTGCCAATGCAGCTCCACGTCGTCGTATAGACTCTAATATAACAGCTACATTCGGTATTTTAAATTTCAACAAAATTTTTAAAGAAGTTTTTTTTTTTTTTTTTGAAAATTGCCAAATACGTTTCATATGGTGGAGGGTATTTAAAGATCGGCCCGAGCGAACTTACAGCTATTTTACTTATTTTTGTCCATCTTCTCTTATTAATTATAAATGGATATGAACATGTACAATCAATACAACATTAAGTACTTTCTGGTACGTAATTAGTACTAATTTCCAAAAACACAGCCTTATCCCATGTCTACGCACCAATAGTAACCTACATTCATGTTATATATGAAAGGGATTAAAGTTTTTTTTTTTATAAAACTGTATGACATTCGTTATGAAGACCATTTGATTGCCAATAACAAAATTTATTGGTTTCCTATAAAAACAAAAAAAAAAAAACAACCCTATTCTATTTCATAAAATCTCAAATCATTTTCTTATCAAATTATATAATAACATATCGTCGTGGTGATTGCAAGTTTGTTTGTCTAGCCCTTCTAAATGTATCTAATCTCTATGAATACCAGACAGCAAAAATCTAAATTTGTAATTGATAATAAACCAACGTCGCTACAATGTATGAAAGTGTGTACTTTGTATACCTGGCGTGGAAAGTGTCACTGACCTACGACGATATGGTCATATAAAGTGAGAATGAGAAAACACAGTTGAAAAAAAGCTGTAAGTTCGACCAAGTCGTAATTTTTATGCCCTTCGCCACCAAAAGGAAAAAGAAAATTTAAAAAAAAAAACGAACTGAGATTTATTACTCCAACGAGTTCTACTTAAACAGCAAATGCGGGTAAAATCGATGGACAAGTTTTGATAAAGCCTTCAAATAAACAAATATCGGGCGATAATATAATTATCTTAAATTAGATCCTACATATTATCTGTACTAAAATGTGGAACAGCGTTAAAATTTTTTTTTTTCTTGATATAGCGTAAATGAACTTGAATAACTTCAAAATGCCAAATTGCAGGCGATTTCGCTAGAAAATTTAGTCAAAACCGTAACAACAAATAAAAGACCTATAGTTTTTCATTTCTTACTATTTTCCGCTCTTCTATATGGACTAAATTTGGGTTATTCTTTATTGACTTCCAAGACGAACACCGTTTTCTGATCATCAAAGAAAACTAAAAACATAAACTAAATAATATAACTGGGAAGTGACCACTATTTCGTCAACGTAATGTCCACCTTAAAATTATAGATCCGTAAAGTTCGAGTCGAGGCCTTTTAGTACTGAAAATCTATATTTTTTTCAGTTGGACAAAAATTTTTGTTCAAACTTCACACATCACTACTTATATACATATGGCATGTTCCAGAAGCTGCAAGAATTAACTAGTTTTTCAATTTTCTCCGATATAATAAGGGGAAAATCGGTGAGCGTAGTAAAAACTTTTACATTCTTGCAGATCTGGAACATACCAATATTATCCAAGCTTTTTCTTTTGCTAAAAGAATAAAATAAAAATATTTATCTTTTACGCCAGAACGTCTTCAAAATCGTTCATTTTGAATTTAACTGATGAGGATATTAGTACAACCATTGCACAATGGCCCACGTCCCTTTTTTTCTGTCCAAAACTATTTAAACGCTCGAAATGTAAGCCCTAAAAGCCAACAGAGACCTCAATATCAAAGTTGAATATTCCGCTCGTCCCCTTCACCCAATATCAAATCTAGTACCATTTAATATTTCTCGAACAATTTCCAAAACCATCTTCATATCTAAATCCCAGATACCAACAGACCCCTTTATATAAAATTTAACCAATGCCCAATTTAGTACCACTTAGTACGTTTCGTACAATTATAGTACACATTTCCAAAACCACCTCCATATCTTAAACACGGACACCAACAGGACATCTATATCAAATTTCAGAATTCCAGCTCTATTCCTTCACCCAATAGCAAATTTTAGTACTACTTAGTACTTTTCGTACAATTATAGTACACATTTCCAAAATCACCTCCATATCTTAAATACAGGCAACAACAGTGACAACTATTCCAACTTCGGAATTCCAGCTCTATTCTTTCGCTCAATAGCAAATTTAGTACTATTTAGTACTTTTCGTACAATTATAAAACACCATTCTAAAACCCCCTTCATATCTCAATTCCAGATACTAACAGAGGCGTTAATATCAATTCCAGCCCTATCCCTTCACTCAATACCAAATTTAGTACCATTTTGTACTTTTTGAACAATTTCAGTATATATTCCCAAAACCATCTCCAAATCTCAACCACAGATACCAACAAAGGCCTTAATATCGAATTTCAGAACTTTATCTCTTTCCATCAACTCCATATAAAATATAGTACCATTTAGTATCTTTAGTACGATTATAGTAGACATTTCCGAAACCACTTTCAAATGATGGGGCTATAGATGAACAGCAACCCTAATACCAAATTTCAGATTTCAGGCACTATCTGAAATTTGATGAAATTTTTCAAACAATATTTTTTTGGCCCAAGGACGAACCTTGTTGAAATTGGTGAGAATCGGTTCAAATTTAGATATAGCTTCAACCGATTTCGGGTTAATTGTGCACCAAATTGCCAATATCAGTCAAAATAAACTGAATTTTGGCATATCCGATCGAATTCAGCCTATAAGTAAGTACTTCGGTTCAGATATAGTTATAGCTCCCATATATATGTTTCAACCGATTTGGGGTTTTAAGTCCCTCACATGCGTAATATGCACTCCACAACAATGACCTTTGGTACCAGATAACTTATGGAGCTCAAAAATACCTCTGTCAAATTTTATCGGAATCCGACAAGATTAAAATATAGCTCTCATATATATCTTTATTAGTTTTCAGGTTTATTGTGCACCAAATGTCTAATATGTGGCAAAATCGACTGAATTTTGGCACATCTGACGGAATTCAGCGTAAAAGCAAATTTGAAGAAAATCGGTTAAGATATAGCTATAGCTCCCATATATATGTTACAACCGATTTAGTGTTCTAAGTCCCTTACATGCGTAATACGCACTCCACAACAATGATCTTTGCTACAAAATAAATTATGGAGCTCAAAAATACCTCTGTCAAATTTTATCGAGACCGGGCCAGAATATTGGTCCAATATATATTTTATCTAATTTCAGATTTTTTGTTTACCAAATGGCTCATATTAGCCTAAATGGCCCCAATTCCGACCAAATTTAGCTTAGAAGCATGTACTTAAAATTTGGTGAAAATCGAATCAGATATAGCTACAGCTCCCATATATATGTTACATCCGATTTGATGCTAAAGTCCCTCACATGCGTAATATGAACTCCATAACAAGAATATTTGATACCGGACATCAGATACTGCTCGAAAATACCTCCGAAAAATTGTATCGATGTCGGTTCAAAATTTTATATAGTTTAGATACGATTATTGCTCACAATATATATATATATATATATATATATATATATATATATAT